GATTCAGCAAGTGGTTTAAAATTAAGAGAGGTGTACATCAGATTTGTATCTTTTTTCCATACATATTCTATCTGTATGCTGAGCAAAATTACTGAAGAAGCTGGACTCTATAAAGAATAATGTAGCATAAAGACTGAAGGAAGACTCAATAACCTTTGGTATGCAGGTATCATGATCTTGCTTGCTTAAAGTGAGGAGGATTTGAAACATCTGCTGCAGCAAATTAAACACTGCAGCCTTCAATATGAATCGCTTCTCAGTGTTAAGAAAATATAAATTCTCACCACTGCATCCTGGTAGATGGAGAAAAGATTGGAACTGTCAACGACTCATTTTACTCAGATCCACAATCAATATACTTGGTACCAGCAGTCAAGCAATCAGGAGAAGTACTGCACTGTGAAAGTCTGGAGTCAGGGACCTCTCCAAATTACTTAAGAGCAACGATGCTAGTTTTTGAGGACTAAGATGCGCTTGACTCAGATCATGATCTCTTCAATCACTTGCTATGCATCTGAGAGCAGGACAATGAATAAGGATGTAAGAAGAAAAACTGATGCCTTTAAACTGTGTTCATGAAGTATGGAATTTCACATGGACTGCAAAAAGGACAGATTTGTCTTGGACAAGGTGCAGCCAGAGTGCTCTTTGGAGGCAAGGATAGTGAAGCTTTGCCTCACATACTTTGGACATGCTTCTATGAGGCAGTATTCCGTAGAGAAGCAAATCATGATTGGAGAGATGGAGGGATGGCAAAGGAGAAGATGATTCTCAACCAGTTGGATTGACAGCAATGGGCTGAAGTGTGTAAGAGATTATGACAGTGGCACAAGATGGGACAGGGTTCAGATCTGTTGTTCACAGGGTCAGTACAAGTCTTACTCTACTTAATGACACCTAACAACTATATATATACACACACACATATATACACACACATACATACATACACACACACGTATCTCAGAAGAAAGCCAACACCCTGCGCTCTTTAAAAAAAAATCCTCATGGCGAGTTCTTTGTGGCCTAGTGGCAAAAAGTTGCACTGCAATCTCAGAGGTGCACGGTTCGAATCCACCAGATGCTCTGCTGGAGAAAGAGAAACAATCTCCTCCTGTACCAGTCAGATCTTATTTGATGGTACACACGAAAAACAATGAAATAAATTTTTTTTAAAAAATTCCTCATAAACCACCTTCAATTAAGACATAATAGAAAGTCCAAAGAAAAGTTGTTTTAAGTTGCTATCACGCTATCAAGTAGACTAATCATAGTGACCATATATATGGCAAACAGATCTGAACCTTGCCCTATCCTGTGTTAACTTCACAATATCCATCATGCTTAAGCCCTGCATTTGTTGACCGTCTGTTTTCCAAGCATGATGTCTTTTCCCAAGAAATGACTCCTTATGAAAAAAATGCCTAAAGTATGAAGTGGGATAAAGTTTCACAGATTTTGCCCAGTTACACTTCCTCTAACACAGATATGTTTGTTTTTGTGACAGTCTATGGGATATTCAACACCTTCTCCAACATCACAGATGAAAGGTATCTATTATTCTGTGGTTATCCTTATTTGTTGTCCCACTTTCATATGCATACAACCAATTAAAATATCATGGCTTAAATCAGGGGCACTTTAACTTTTAAAATTAGATTCTTGCTCTTAAGCACTTTAAAGAGGTCCTTGGCAGAAGCTATGCCCAATGCAGTATGTCTTTTTCTTTACTGATGCTACTCTGAGTGTTGATTATGAATCTAAATAAAATAAAACATTTAACAACTTCAATCTTTTCTCCAGTTTTCATGATGTTCTTTCTTCGTCCCACTGTGAGCACTTCTAGATTCTTGATATTCAAGTGCAATCCTTATCAAACATCTTATGGAATAACATCAAGAACATCCTCCATGAGTAAAACAAAGTAGCACTAAAAACAGAGGAAAGGAAGAAGAAAACAGAAGAGACTGACATTTTCTCTGTAATGAACAAAAGCCGGAAGGAATGAAGGGTAGTTTTAAGGAAATATTTAATGTCTACTTAGTTGCATATACTGAGTATATCGTGAGGATGGCCCAGTTCTTAGAGAAGGACATGTTGCTTGGTAAGGGGGAGATCAGAGTGAGAGAAGACTACTCTTAGTAAGATGCAATGACAAAGTGACTGCAACAATAATGAGCATAGGTTTGTCAGACATAGTGAGGATGACACAGGGTAAGGAAAGGTTCAGAGTCATTGTTCACAGGGTCTCTACGAATATTCGTCAACTCAACAGCACATAACTATAATTTAGTTAACATTATGACACCACTGGGAACCTCTGGTAACTTAAGTGTTAAGAAGCTGTGCTGACATTGACCAATGGAACAAAATTGAGAACCCAGAAATAGACCCAGCTATCTATGGTCATCTGACATTTGATAAGGAAATCAAAGTTATCAAATGGGGAAATGATAACTTCTTCAACAAATGATGCTGGCAAAACTGGACATCCATCTGCAGAAAGCTGAAACAGGATCCACATCTCACACACCATACACAAAAATCAACTCAAGGTGAATCAGAGACCTGGGAGTAAAGCCTCAAATCATAACATTCTTAAGAGACAAACTGGGATCAAGCTTAGAAGCGCTTGTTCAAGGTATAAAGATACTGCCAAATACAAACAGAAATGCACAATCTAAAGAGGATAAAATTGATGCATGAGACCTTCTGAAGAGTAAATCTCTGTGTACATCAAAAACTTTTTCCAACAGAGTGAAAAGAAAACCTACAGACTGGGAATGAACACTTGGTAACACTATCTCAGACAAGAGTCTTTTAACAAAAATTTACGGAATACTTCTGGGCCTCCACAAGAAAAAGACTGATAACCCAGTTATAAAATGGACAAAAGATATGGAAAGATTTTTCACAGAGAAAGATATTCGAATGGCAAACAGACCCATGAAGAAATGCTCCAAATCATTGGCAATAAGAGAGATGCAAATGAAAACCACAATGAGGTACCATCTCACTCCAGTAACAGTGGCAAAATTTAACAGGACAGCAAGTAATAGATGCTGGAGAGGATGTGGTGAGAAAGGAACTCTTACACATTTTTGGTGGGACTGTAAAATGGTGCAACCATTCTGGAAGGCAATTTGGCGCTTCCTCAAAAAGCTGAACATAGAAATTCCATGTGACCCAGCTATTGCACTACTATGAGAATATGAGAACTGAGGACAAACTGCGATTTGTACACCAGTGTTCACAGCAGCATTATTTACTATTACAAGAACATGGAAACAGCCCAAATGTTCAATCACAAACGAACAGATTGAGAAATTATGGTACATTCACACAATGGAATATTACTATGCAACACATAGAAGCAATAATTTTACAAATTATTACCTAACTTAGGAGGGACTGGAGAGCATTATGCTGAGTGAACTCAGTCCCATAAGGATAAATATTGAATAAAACCATTATTGTAGAATGGGCTGTACAATCTGGGGGGGGGGTGTGTGTGTGAGGAAAACGGAAAGAATTTGTTCAAATTTGTATTTTAATTTTGTAAATAGACTAGTAGAAAAATAAAAAAAGAAGCTGTGCTGAAATCCCAAAGGTACATGGTTCGAATCCACCAGCTGTGGGGAAAGGATGGGCAATCTCCCCCAATCTGATTTACTGCCACTGAAAGCTGACTTGAGGGTCAGCTATGGGTCAGTTTCAAATAGACGGCACACAACAATAACAACGCCACTTTTAAGGAGCTCTTGTGGTTGAGTCAACTGCTAAACTTTTTGTGCTGAAAATCTTTTGATTATCTAGTTGATAATGAATTTACACTTAACCTCCATCAGACTTCTACATTTGAATGGTTAATTTTCCCTGTTAAGAGCTTTCGTTTCTTGTCCCTCAAAAATGTACTTAATACCTTACTCAATTTTTATATTTAAAAAGGCAAAGTGATAAATATTTTTTAAATAGCATCTTTAAAAAGCAGGTCATATATCTGGGAAGTAATGTTCCTGTTTATTTATGATAAAACAATATTAATGGACAGTATAGTATAAAATCAGGAAAGGTTGTCACAGTTATATCCACTCACAATATTTATTCAATCTATACAATTATAAAATAATCTGAGGAGCGAGCTTATAGAAAGAAGAATGCAGCATCAGAAATGCAAGCAGACTTATAGTTAACATCCTGAAATATACAAATAATGAAAACTGAAAGTGAAGAGGAATTGAAGCACTTCCTGATGAAACATATGAACTATATCTCAAGACTAAAAAGAAAAAAAATTTAAAAAAAAAGAAAATTTTAACAATTAGACCAACAAGCAACATCATGATAAAAAAAGAAGACTAACACTGTCAAGGAGTTCATTGCTTGGATTCATAATCAACACCCATGGAAGCAGCATTTAAGAAATTAAATTACAAATTGCATTAAACAAATACCCTGTAAAGGGCTGTATGAAAATATTTAAAAAGCAAAGATGTCACTTCAAGAATGAAGGTGCACCTAACCCAAGTAATAGTATTTTCAAATGATGTCTCACACACATGTGCAAGCTGGGCCATGAAAAGGAAGACTGAGGAAGAATCGACGCCTCTGAACTATAATGATTGTGAAAAAGACAGAATAAACTTCCAAGTGCTAGAAAAACAAATCTGTCATGGAAAAAGTAAAACTAAAATACTCCCCAGAAGTGAGAATGGAGAGATCTTTTTTCTCACGTATGCTGAACATGTTATTAGAAGGAACTAATCCTTGGGAGGACATCATGGTCAGTAAACACAGGATCAGAAAAAACAAACAAACAAAAAAACAGGAAGGGCCCAGAAAGAGATGGAGCAATACAATGGCTTCAATAACATATTCATATAAAGTAATGAGTATGGCACAGGACAAAGCACAGTTTCATTCTGTTATAAATAGGATCAGTACGAGTTAGAAGAGACTCAACAACATCTAACAAAAGTATTGGATAATGACAAACTTACCACTTCTGTGAATTCATTACTTCCCAAATCCAGTCTTTCCAGCTGAGTCAGTCTATTCATAGTTCTATTCAAAATGGAATAATAAAAAAATTAAGTATACACAAAAATACCAATCACATGAAAGCTTTCCTTTTTTCATAGTTCAAAAATACTTCTGCAGTATTAAATGAAGCCTTCCAAAGATCTGGAAAATAATAAAGATAATTTTTTTCTTTTATGCAAAAAGAGTAATGTTCCCCTAAGCACTCTGGGCACCCCCAGGTCTCTGGCAGTGTGATTGCCTGTGACATGGCCCAGGGAACCATGAGGGAGTAACCTAGCAGCATCCAGGTGGCTCTGTGCCTGGTCTCCTCTTGAATGGGCATTGTCACCACCACTGAAGCTTTCCTGAGGTGCTTCTATCAGCACCTCCCTGCCCTGCCTTCTAGGCTAGGTGGTGGTGGTGTTGCTATGGGCCGTCGAGTCACCTGTGTCAGGCTATGTTGTTGTTAATGTGCCACTGAGTTGCTTGTGACTCCTAGCGACCCTATGTACAACAGCTCTAAACTCGGCTCTGTCCTGTGCCAATCTCACTATCTCTGATACATCCATCCCGATTACCCAAGTCACTGAATCGATCCACCTCATAGAGGGTCTTCCCCTCCTACGCCTGCCCTCCACCTTCTTAGGTAGGTATGCTAAATGGAGAAGTGGTTGATCATTTAATATAAAGAAAACCAAAACACCAAAAAGTTGAGAGAACCCCATTCTTTATGGTCTAATCATACGAACTTTCCCATTATCTGTAGCTGTCTTATCTACCCTAAGTGGTAGTAAACTCAAAGCCACACACACACACACACAAAAAAGCTGTTAAATTTCTCATGTCTTCTCACTTGTTTTCTAAAAATGTAATCATAGCAAATATAAACACAGAGTCCAGAAAATGAATGGGTGGGTTTTCCCCCCTTTTTTAAACAGAATAAATTCTCATACTGTACAACTAAGCTAATCAATTAGTCTGATTGGCAATTATATGTTACTACTAGCATTTCTGAAAGAGAGAGTTACGTTAGCCTAGTGGACAGAAAGTTACGTGACCAAGCCGAAGGTGGGTGATTTTAATCTATGGTCCTCAGGCCAGGTTCAAATTGTTTTCCTGTCAAACATTCTTCCAGGTGGTATAGCACTGGTCTGTGCATTGCTGTACAGAGGTAACTCGTAGTTGCTGTGATGTTGAACACTGGGGCACTGATGTGCCAAACATGGTAATGGGTACCCATGGTGGACAATGTTTGCTGGAGCTTTCTGACTAAAACAAGCCTGGAAGCAGGAGCGGCATCCACTTCTGAAATGGCTTGCCTCTGGAAATTCTATGTACGGACAACACTCAAGCCTTTCTTTCATAGGGTCACAATGAGTCATCTACAACTCAACAACACCTAACAATAACAACAACAACAACTAGCATTTTCAAAGGCTGTTAGTATATCAGTGAGAAGCTCTTGTGGTGGTGTGCATTTCATGTTATGCTGCTAAGCAAAAAATCAGCAGTTCTAATGAACCAGCTGATCTCAGGAAGATGTATAGTATTCTCCTGCAAAAATTTACAGCACTGGAAATCTTAAGGAGAGGATTTCTGTGAATCAGAACTGACTCAAGAGCAGTGGATGTTACTTTTTTTAAAAAGTTACTAAGATATTCTAAGAGTAAATGTTAAGTTTCTCCCCCAAATTTTAGGTTAACTTAACAGTCAGCTTTCAAATACAGTTGAAAACAAAAATCACAAATACAAATGTTGATATTTATTTCAAATTAACTGTTTTAACTACAACATTGTCACTTTCAACTTAATATTGACAGTTTTCTGACTGCAGTCTTGAAAAAATGTATAAAATAATTTTCTAAGTTATACTTTCTCTAAAGGCAATCATTTACACTAATTTTAAAAAAGCAGTATTATTTGATATTCAAGTGCTATAAAAGGAAAAGAATTCATTTAAAAGTATTTAAGATTAAGGAAAAATTGACAGTGAAGAACAGTTATATATTAATGTTACATATACTTGTAATTGTAAATTCATTATCTTGAAAATCAGAAGAACTTAAATGATGGCACAAACACCCACAGCTACAGACTTTACCTTTTGGAAAGATAACCAATTAAAAATAGCTATTTAAGATCCAGCTTAAACCTTTTCTGAAGATTTTATTGACAAAATAGAAAAAAACTTGACCATAATTTTACTAATGTAAAATGCAACATTATTGTTGCTGCTGTTATTGCTAGGTGCTATCCAGTCAACCTAATAAACAGACTGAAATCTTGCCCTATCCTGCATATCCTCATGATCAATTTGATCAAGCTCAATTTGACTATTTAAAGTCACTGTCTATCTCCTTGAAGTTATCCTCTCTTTCATTAATTCTCTACCTCTTCCAGCATGATGTTCAGCATGATGTATTTTATCCAAGCACTGGCCTCTACTGACAATATGCTCAGAGTATATGAGACAAGGTTTTATTTACCACTGTACTTCCTCCAAAACAGATTGGTTTGTTCTTTTGACAGTCCATAAAGCATTCAATACACCTTTTATGTTGTCATATACCATCAAGTTGGAACTAACTCATAGCTGCCCCTCCAATGGATTTTCAGATTATGTATATAACATTGAGAAGAATGGGGATAATAATCTTCACAGCAGGAGAGTGTCCATCATTCTTCCACAGAGTAGCTGATGGATTTGAACTACATACCTTCTGGATTGGCAGCAAAGCTCCTTACCAAGTACACCAATTTAACACCACAATTCAAAGCACTGATTCTTCCCGTACCTTCTTTATTCATTACCCAATTTTCAGATGCACAACAAGCAACTGGTTGGATCAGGCACATTTTCAGTCTTTAAACTGATATCCTTACTCTTTACGACTTTAAAGAAGTCTTTACCAGCAGATTTTCCAAATTTTAATTTTTTTGTCTTCTCTTGTGATCCAAGTAAAATTAAATTGCTGACAACTTCAAACTTTTGCCCATCAATCATGTTGTTGGACAATTTGTCAAGTGGTGAGGATTTCTGTTTTCTTAATTTTAAGATATAATTCATATGAAGGCTGCAGTTTTTAATCGTCTTCAGAAAAGTCCTTCAAAATTTCTTCACTTTCATATGCATAACAAAGGTTGTTGAGTCTTCCTACAATCCTGATGCCAAAATTTTCTTTATATTGTCCAGATCTTGAACGATTTATTCTGCACACAGACTAAATTGGTATAGAGAAAGGATACAATCTTGACACCCACCTTTTCCAATTTTAAACTATACAGCATTTCCCTGTTCTGTTTGGACAACTGTTTCTTGGTCTATTTATAAGGTTCTCAGGAGCATAATGAAGCATTTGTGGATTCCTATTCTTTTCAAGGTTATACATAATTTTATTCTGATCACACAAACCTGTTTCGTCGTCATTAAAACACAAATCAACATCTTCCTGGCATTCCCTGCTTTCAGCACTGATGCATCTGATATTCATAATGATATCCCTTGTACCTTTCTCTCTTCTGAATCCAGCTTGAATTTCTGACAATTCCCTGTAGATGCACTATTACAGTAATTTTCAGCAAGATTTTTCTTGAGCATGATATTCATGATACTACTCAATTTCCACAATCTGTTAGTTCATCTTTTTCTTTTTCTTTTTTGAATGGGACAAACATGAATCTCTCCTGAAAGTCAGTTGGTCGGGTATCTGTCTTCAGAATTTCTTGATATAGTCTAGTAAACATGCTCATGTTTGTATCTGTTTCCTGAAAACCCCCAATTGTTACTCCATAAGCTCCTGGAGTCCTATTTTTCACTAATGATTTCAGTGCAGAAGGAACTTCACCAAAGAAGTTCTTATAGTCAACAAATATGAAAACCTGTTCAAGCTCCTTACCTATGAGAAGCATTTAATAGTTGCAAATCAAATAAAAATGTTTACATATAACCTCACCCCAAAAGTAATCGCCAAAGCTCAACAAGACAGCAAACAACAAATGCTGGCAAGGGTGTAGAGACACTAAAACTCTCACACACGTCTACCTGGACTGTAAAATAGTGTAACAACTGTGGAAAACAGTTTGGAATTACTTTAGAAAGTTGGGGAAAGAAACACATTTGATCCTGCAATGCCACTACTAGGTGTATTTCCCAAAGAAATACAAATTGCTACATGAACAGATAAATGCACACCAATGTTCACTGTAGTACTATTTATAACAGTAAGGATATGGAAATAGACCAAGTGTTTATAAACTGTCATATGAACAAAGAAACTATAGTATAATTACACGATACTATGCAACACTAAAAAAACCCAAAGAATTTACAGAACACCAAATAGCATGCTATAGTCTCGAGGGCATTATGCTAAAAATCAGTTGGAAAATACAATTATATTATTATAACAGTAAATAAAGACTACTATATGTTATTAAAGTATAAACTTCAACTCCATAGAGTTGGAACCAACTCACAACTGACCATCCAGCAGATGTCTGGTGTAAAGGTTTCTGGTTTCAGGTTTCTGAGGCTGTAAATCAAACAGGAGGAAACTGCCCATCTTTTCCCCTAGGAGTCACTGGTGACTGTGAACCAGTCAAGTGTTAGCAATGTTAACTCACAACTAACTAGGCCACCAGAGCTCTATTATAAAAAAGCTAAAGAAAGGTTTACAGACAGACAGAATTATTCTTGGATGGTTGCCATGAATGGCAAGGGAGAAAGGAGGAATACAAATTAATTAACAGATAGTTGGGTGAAGGAAAAGGCAATGTCCAATAAGGGACTGATCAGATATTGTAATTAGTTATGTTAATAAATTGTTAATACTATAAAACAAAATATGTGCAAATGATTGAAAAATCATTATGATTTATAAGCATACACTCAAAAATTTAACATTTCTCTATGGACTAAGAAATTTTAACTGAATTGTTAAAAAGATAGCACTTTACTTACTTTGGCAACATTTTCAACTGGTTTTCTCTAAGTTCTAATATTTGTAATTTAGTTAATCTGCAAAACAAAGAAAAAATTTACAGCAATAAATTTCATTAATACATTATCACATAATAAACTATAACCATCCAGTATTCACTGTATAATTACAACATGCAGAGAATTGTATTTAAAAATTAAGAACATAAAAAAGTACAAAGACAGAAAAGATTATCTCTGCCTTCCTGAGAATGACCAGGAGGAAGGAGAATTAGTACTTTTAGATGTTTTCAAAAGTATCAAGTAATTGTTCCATAAATCTCAATACTAAACAGTTCATGTCCCTTTATTTCCTGAAATTAAATACTAAAAATGTTATCTCTTAGTATATAGTAGAATAAACAATTCAACTACATGTTTCAGCTCAAAGAAGCAATCAATGAAAGAAACAAAGGAACACAAAGAAGGAGAAATCTTTTGGCACCTGAGTGATACATATGCCACTGAAAACAGAAAACAAGATTATATAACTTTGTCACATATGGAATCTGACCAGATTATTTTTAGTTAAAAGACGACTAAGACATAATTTTTCCAAGTAATTATTTCAGTATAAATTTGATAGTTATTCACTCATATTTTCATATAAAATAAAAAAGAATAGCAGCAGAGGAACTACGAACTACAATATGACACAACTTCTCTAGGTACTGATGACGTTAGGAAAGTGAACTCCAAAAACATATTAATAATTTATTTTCTAGTATGGAAAATAAGAAAACCAATGATTCATGGACAGTAATAATTGGGAAGAATAATGGATTCTGTATTCTCCCATATATAGAAATTATACTTATTTAAACCATTTTGTTGGAACCAAATTCTTATCTAAATTTTTTTCTTTTAAATTCTCACTACTTATTGTTTACCTATGAAAATGAACTTGAAGTCAAACAGATAAAAAAAAAACCCTTAAGAACTGACACACTTAGCAATAATTACAAAAGCCTGAGAAACTATAACAATATTCCAACAGTAACTTTTCTTTTTGTATACTTTATGACAAGTAACAATAAAGATTTAGAATAATTTACCTGCCAAAATTAGCTGGTAAGAACTCAAGGAAAGCATCGTTGAGATACAACTGTGTTAGGTTTAATAGCTGAGAAAATCCATCAGGAAGCCTAAATAAAAATATATCAAAATAGAAATTATGTTCATATGCAAAATTTCATTCTCTTACTAAGATCTCTTCAAGAATTTGTATAGTACACAGCTGAATGAGAGTTACATCTTTATTTTTATTATGTCCATCAGCTCTGAACTCTGCTCCACCTTAAGCCAATTTCACTGTCTCTGCCACTGAGTCAAACCATCTCCTCCAGGGTCTTCCTCTCTTGTGCTGTCCCTCTTCTTCTCCAAGCAGGATGTCCCTCTCCAAGAACTGCTCCCTCCTTGCAACATGTCCAAAGTATGCCACACAGAGAGCTTCAAAATCCTTAACTCTAAGAAGCAGCCTAGTATCACCCTCTCCGAGACACACTTGTGTATTCTCTTATTTCTACTATCTTCAAAATTAGATTTGTCTTTAATATTAACTTTCCTGTATCATTTTTTTCTATTTTCATTTATAATTATATTGAGGTTTATTTCAATAGATTTCCCACATTTTGTTCCTCCCTACATTCACTTTATGTAATAAGTAACCAACTTCAAGTTGTTCATCAATTTAAAAAACAAGATCAATGTTGGCAATATTAGCATACTGATAATATTAGCTAGCATATTGATTGAGCTGAATAATTCTTCCCTGTGAAAAGGCAGTTCTGTGGGCTGCAGGATGTTTAGCAAAAACTGATATGGTGGAAGGCAGTGGGATAACAATAAATAGATAATGAACACTGCACTGGAATGGATGAAAAGAAGGACAATTTGAAAATAATGGATGATTAGAAAGTATATATGACAATTAATAGTATGGAACAGAAAAGCATTACAAAAGAAATTGGGGGGAAAAGAGGGAGGAAAATATACATAAATGAGTAAATAAAAACAAATTTCTTTGTGAGCCTTCCCAAAAATGGGGGGGGGGGTTTAAAAAAATTAAAGAAAAAACACAGGTTTTTAAAAATTCTGGCTGCTACTCATTCTACACCAGTACCATCTCTCCAGGTCATGGCAACAATAATAATAATAAAAAACAAAACCCAACTGTTTTTAGAAACCATCTAACATTTCCAGAAAGCAAAAGTACCCCAAATTGAAAAATGCCGATTTATATCATCTTTGGTAAAATTAACTTGATATTCAGGATCCTGTTTGATAATTATACTCTGTTGAGAATAAATTTTCTTTGCAATGGATATAAATACAGATCTCTGGTGACTTAACTATCTTCCAAATTTCTTAACATAGATGAATCAAGACCTTCAGCACTGCATTTGTCTGTTCAGTCTCAACTGTTACATCATCAATTCCTGGAACTTGGTCATCAACATCTTCAGGGAAGCTTTCTTCAATACCATTTACTAATTCTTTATCTTCTTGTTGTTGAGTACTAGCAAGTCAAAACTGATCCACAGCTGAACGCCCAGCTAGTTTTCAGAGATAGTTAATCGCACGAGAGGAGGAGAATGATGAGCAATCTCCTCTCATGAACCACAGGGCTTTGAGACTGCAGTGCAGCTTCTTACCATTAGACTGCCAGAGCTCCCTTCTTGATCATATGCTACCATCAAAAATTGATGAATCAAGTAATTATTTTTTTTTTAATAAAGTGACTGTGTAACACTTTCCTTTTCCCTTGATGGTTCCTGTGCTGTCCATTATCTTGCCCTGAGAATTCACCAATATTACAACTTTAGGCTTGATTTTTTTCCCCCCTTAAATTCTCTCAGCCTGAGAAATGCTTCTGATTTTCCAACTTTGGACCTCTGCACATTTTACTTTGCTTCTCAAGCTACCCTATGAAATCTGTTCAGCTCTCTTTTTTCACTTCTTTCACTTTAGCTATTCTATGTTCGAAAGTGAGCTTAAAAAGTCTCTTCTAACATTCACCTTAGTCTTTCTATTCTTTAATATTTTTCCCATTCTTTAATCTTAATTTGTATAAGATAAGATTAATGTATATAAGTTTAAGAAATTGTCCTAAGTGTCTTTTTTGTATACTTCACGTTTTTGGACAAAAGACTGACACAAATTATTATTGTTTTAAGACTATGAACCTATTCTACTCACAAAAACAATTTGTAACAAATAAAACTTACTTGGAAATAGGATTTACACTGGCTTCCACAACTGTCAAGACTTTACAATTTTTTATATTTTCTGGAAACTCTTGTATTCCTAGGAAACGAACAAAAAAACCAAAAATCAAATTCTAAGAATTTATTTCTGCTGAGGGTGAGAAGGGAGAGAATCATGAGGTTGCAGAGCTTAATGGACGGAAAGAGGGAAAAATGAATTATAATAAACCCAGAGGAGAAAAAAGGTTAATAGTGGGCGTAGATCAATGGTGTTTCATTTTCTAAAACACAGGGTATGGGAATGATTGCATGAAACACAAAGTTAAAAGGGAATGAAACAGTATATGAAACATACTGTGCATGAGCAAAACATAATGAATATAAATTCTGTATGCAAACCAATTGTTGTACTGTTCTGTTAAGCTGTCTGCAACTCATAGCAACCCTATGTACATACAGCATTTCTGAAGCCTGCCCTATCCTAAGCCAGTCTCATTGACATCACCACACCCATCTCCCAAAAAAGAGTTTATTTCCGGAACCAAAGAAATAATAAATACTACTGCTAGTATTCCTATTGTTGTGCATTTGACTTTATATACTAAAAGTTTATTTTTATCAACTAAGAGGAAAAAGATAAACATCAACATCTCTATGAGTCAAACAGAAGCACCTTCAAGTCAATGTCTTTTTGATCTAAACTTGTCTCTATAACTGATTATTTTGAATACTATTACCCTCTCTTCACATTTATGAAAAAGAACGCTTTCTCATTTCCCTTTTACTCAATCTTTATCTTTTCCATAACTCATGGTCCTAGTAAGCTTTGTAAGAGCAGTTGAATGTCATCACTATCTGCTATCATGATGGTTAAAAATTTAATGGGAGCTCTGTTGTTCTAGTAGAGCCATGCCGCCAACCCAAAGGTAGGCAATTCAAACCCAACACTGGCTCCACAAGAGACAGATGGACAATCTACTCTGGTTCAACTTAAGAGTCTCTGACAACCAACTGAAGGATCAGTTATGAGTCAGTTCTAACTTGATGGCCATGAGTTATCAGATACTTGTATCCTCTGCTAACTCCTACAATTGATCGTACTGAAGAAGAGTCCTAACTGCCCTGAAGGCACTGATGAAAAAACAAAGTTCTATGAATTGCTGGAACACTAGTCTAAATGCTTCAGGAAATGGACACACTCAACTCTCAAGTTTATATAGCCTTTCATCAATATCTATTCAATTTTTATGTTGATCAGAGAAACTGGAGTGCATGATTAAATTAATAGTATCAAAATATAAGGACTCATTAACTACCTATTATACGTAAATGGCACAACAATGCTTACAAAAAACAGGACTTGAAGCATATATAGGTGAAGCTTAAAGACTATTGCTGCTAGCTTTTAGTATGAATCACATCTCAATAAAAAGAAAAAAAAATCCTTTCAACTCAACAACACACAGTATCATGATATACAGGCAAAAAGCTGCCGTTTTTAAGGACTTCCTTTTACTTGGACTCACAATCAATGCCCAAAGAAGCCACAATCACAGACCTTTTTAAAATAATAAAATGGATGTCATTTTGAGGTCTACAAAGCACCGGCTGAAAGCTATTTCTCTAATGGATGTGAAATCTAGACAAAGAATAAAGAAGATTGAAGAAGAACTGGTGTCTCTGAATTGTGATGTTAGTGAAACATACTGAATTAATCATGGACTTCCAAAAGAACAAACAAATATGTCTTTAGAAGTGTAGTCAAAGTGGTCCTTAAAATGTGAGGCTGGTAAAATTATATTCCCAAAGCTTTAGGCATGCTATTAGGAAGAGCAAGTCCCTGGAGAAGGATATCATTCTTAGTAAGGTTCTACATTTAAAAAAAAAAAAAGACTCAGGGAAATGGGCTGACAGCAAAGCTACAAAAGGCTTAAGAACAATATGAGGATGATGCAGGAACTGGGAGATTTTTTTCAGCTGTATATAGGGTGGGTACAAATCAAGAGCCAATTCAACCAGCATCAAACAAAAACAGTAACATTCTGAACTGAAAAATTGGTAGTCTGGATCCCCTAGCTAATCTTTGGGAGAATGATGAGTAGTCTCTGGTGGCCTAGTGTTAATCTGCATTATAATCCTGAAGGCTTGCAGTTCAAGTCCACCAGTTGCTCCACAGGAGAAGGATGGGCAATCTCTTCTAGGGTAATTACTGAAAAACTGATGGAGGGTCAATTACCCAACAACAACTCCTCCTATAAAGATCTATAGTCTCAGAAACCACAAAAGTCCCATGAGTAATAATAACTGACTTGGTATCAGCAGGTTTGGTATCAGATATTACAGCTATTAAATTCACTTTTATCACAGTGCTTCCTCAACTCTGCTATGGATCAATATTCTTGTAAAATACCATATATGCTATACAGAAGTGACAAATGTGGGGTAGTTTTTTAAAAAAGCCAAAAAAAAAATAACCCCCCTTCATTAATACAATTTTCTTCTAGTTTGTGTGTCTGTAAGTTCTATTCTTACCCAATTATGACTATCTACCTGAGTTCTCACTAGAGATGTTTCAAGTTCCTTTTACTTTATCATTCTATGATTCTAAAGAGGCATATTTATTACAATCTTACATCCTGAAAAAATGAATTCAAAGTATGTAAGAAACAGGATACTTTACCTAGTTTCATACTTTGTCCTCAAAAAATACTTACTAATTATAACATTTAAAAAACCCAGTCAATTTACAGTGAAGACATCTGAAAGGCACTATATAAAATTGTTTCAAAGCATATCACCACTGTTATAAAACAATACTGACATGGGGAGTTGGGCAACACTAGGAAAATAGGGGACAGATAATGAACACTGTATTGGAATAGATTAAGGAAAACTGTTTATAAGGAATATATGATCAGACATTATTTGCATGACAACAGCAAAGAATAAGAGGTGCATTGCAAAGTGGACCAGGGTGAGGGGAGGAGAAAGGAAACTGTGCAACAAAGAATGAATTTTTTTTAAGTGAATGATTGTGGGTAGAGAGAAAACATACAACAAAGAATGACTGAAAATCCAACTTTGCTGTAAACTTTCATTAAAATTGTTGTTGCTGTTATGTGCTGTCGAATCACTTGTGACTCATAGCAACCCTATGTTCAACAGCCCTAACCTCTGCTCTGTCCTGTGCCAATCGTACTGTCTCCAACACACCCATCTCGATTACCGCAGTCACTGAATCAATCCACCTCACAGAGGGCCTTCCTCTCCTACACTGTCCTTCCACCCTCCCAAGCATGATGTCCCTCTCCAAGGACCAATCCTTTCTTACAAGATGTCCAGATCATGTTAGACGAAGCCTCAGAATTCTTTCCTCCAAGGAGCAGCCCCGTTTAACCCTCTCCTGGCTCAATCTGTTTCTTTTCCTAGCAGTCCATGGTACCCTCAATACTCTTCTCCAGCACCACAGCTCAAAGACATCAATTCTCCTTCTATCCTCCCTTGTCACTGTCCAACTCTCTGACACATAACAAGTGACTGAAAAGACTATGGCCTGGATCAGATGCACCTTAGTCTCCAGAGAGACACCATTGCTCTCCAGAATTTTGGAAAGGTCCCTAACAGCACACTTTCCCATGGCAATACATCTTTTAATTTCCTCGCTACTGGTGCCAAGAGTGTTGACTGTGGAGCCAAGCAAACTAAAGCTGTGAACCATCTCAATCTCTTCACCATTTATCATGATGCTGCCAATTGATCCAGTGGTGAGAATCTTTGTCTTCTTGACACAGAACCTCAATCCATACTGAAGGATGCACTCCTTGAGCCTCTGCAGCAAGCGCTTCAGGTCCTCCTCAGTTTCAGCAAGCAGGGTTGTGTCATCTGCATAACACAGATTGTTGATAGATCTTCCACCAATCCTGACCCCACATTTCTCCTCATAGAGCCCAGCCTCCCGGATAATCTGTTCTGCATATAGGTTGAAAAGTTATGGAGACAGGACACATCCTTGGCGTATGCCCTACCCAATTTTGAACCATGCAGTGTTCCCTTGCTCTTTTCTGATGGTGCCTCTTGGTCCAAGTATAGGTTTCGCATTAGCACGATCAAGTGTTCTGGGATTCCCATTCTCCTCAGAGTCAGCCACAATTTGTTATGGTCCACACAGTCAAATGCCTTTGCATAGAATGAAACACAGATATACATTCCTCTAGTATTCCCTGCTTTCAGCTAAGATCCATATAACATTAGCTACAATATCCCTAGTACCACAACCCCTTCTAAACCCAGCCTGGAAATGTTAGCATAAAAAAAAAACACCAAACCAAACAAAACAAAAAATGTTAGCATCACCATTATATGATCATGTATCACCTGCTCTAAGAAACATTGAAAAGTGATGCAGCAGAACTTCTGTAGTATTTACATAAATCCAAGCTGAAAAAATTTTCTTCTAAGTAACTATATAAAATGCTTTAAAAATGCAAAGTAAAAAAAAAAATACCAAAGACATATTTAAAACTACCCAGACTATAAGGGACTCAACAAACCTGACAACTAAATATAAATGTAATCCTAGACTAGATCTTGGATCAGGAAGCAAAAAACTTTAAAAAAAAAAGGGGGGGGGATTTATTATTTAGGGAAGTTAAAGATGGATATACATAAAATCTTTGTACTTTTTTTTGCTGTAATTATTTCAAAAAATGAAAATTTTTAAAAAAAATCAAGATGTCTATTAAAAAGTATATTTTAAAGATCATTGTCGTCCCCCGCCCCCCTTACAGTATAGAACAGTGCTAATGTATCTGTCTCATTCCGGAAAGACTAACAAAATGTTGTCATAGCAAACTGCATTGTTAACCCAAAGGTTATTTGTCTCTATTTAAATTCAGATCCACCAGTGGCTATACAGAAGAAAGAGGAGCAGCCTCCTCCTATTATTTATAGCCTCAGAAGGCTGGTGTTAGGTCTCTATTAGTCATATAAACTTGATAATCCAGTATTGTCAACTGTTTTAGAACTAACTTTAAATAAAAAAATTAATTTGTCCTTAGATTCCATTTCACACCCACTGATTTGAAGGGAGGAAGGTATAACTTTGAAAATGGAAAACTAAATTTTGTGAAAGATTGGAAATCTTGAATATCACTTCTGAGAATGTAACTAGTGTGTCCAGTACAAAAGCGTGGAGATTCCTAAGTAAGTTAAACAGCTCCCAGTAATTCAACTGGTATTTGGATACAAATGTTCATAGTAACACTTGTAACGATAGTCAAATTGTGTAAACAACCCCAATAATCTTAACTGATGAAAAAAACCCAAAATGTAATATATATATATAAACACAAACTGTCCAAACTTATTAATAAAAAGTGGAATATATTTGGCCACACAAGTGAATAAAATATTGATATGTGCTGCAACTATAATTAAAATAGATCATATTAGAGTAAGAAGTCAGATTAAAAATGTCATGTAATGTAAAATCATATTTATAAGAAGCATGTTGTTATTATATAAAGTCACCTGTGACTCACAGTGGCTCTAAGTACAACAGCCCTAAACCCTGCTCTATCCTGTGCCAATTTTTTTTTTATTCTTTTTTAAATTATTTTACTCTCCAATAGGGTAATAAGGGAAGCCACAGATTAGGAAAAAATATTTGGTAATGACATGTCTGACAAGTGGACTTATATATAGAATTTATAAAATACTCGAGCACCACAACAAGATAAAGGTAAATAATCCAATTGAAAAATGGGCACAGGATATGAACAGACACTTGACCAAAGAAGACATTCAGATGGCAACAAACATATGAAGAAATGTTCAAAATCCCTAGCTTTACGAGAGATGCAAATCCAAACAACTATGAGATATCATCTCACCTCAGTAAAAATAACAAAATTTAACAGAACAGCAAACATCAAATGCCGGCGAGGCTGTGGAGAAACCAGAACCCTTATTCACTGCTGATGGGAGTGTAAAATGGTGCAACCACTATGGAAGGCTGTATGGCACTTTCTCAAAATGTTGTAAACAGAAATACCATTTGACCCAGCAATTCCACTACTGGGAATTTACCCTAAAGAAACCATAACTGCCACCCAGCAGATATATGCACACCCATGTTTATCGCAGCTTTGTTTGCAATAGCAAAGAGCTGGAAATAACCCAAGTGTCCATCAACAAATGAACTGATAGAGAAGCTGTGTTATATTCACACAATAGAACACTACATGCTGCACTGAAAAACAAGGAACTCATGAAATATTATGCAAAATGGATGACCCTGGAGGACATTATGTTGAATGAAATATCTCAGTCACAAAAGGACAAATACTGCATAAGGCCACTGTTGTAAATTGGGACTGACATCAGGGTTGAGGGAAGACAGAAAAGGAGGGGAAGAATGATGTATATTGTATTGAAACAGATGAGGGAAAGATCTGTTTTAAAGGGATATAGGAATGGGTATTCTTGTCATTACAGAAGTCCAGAATGAAGGCTGTATAGTGGAATGAACTTAGAGGGAGGGACTGCATAACAATGAAAGAGTTTTTATTTTTCTTCTCAAGGAGAAGAGTGATTGGGGGGGAAGGGAGTGGGAAGGGAGAAAAGGGCAAGAATGAATGACTAGAAATTCTAAGTCTCTGTAAACTTTCATTAAAACTTATAAATAAATTTAAAAGAATTACTTTGTGCATGTGTACCGTCAAACTGGATCCAACTGGTACAGGATGAGATTGCCCCTCCTTATCCAGCAGAGCATCTGGTGGATTCAAACTATGTGCCTCTGGGATTGCAATGCAGCTTCTTTGTCATTAGGCCACCAGAGCTCCCTTATTCTGTGCCAATCTTATTGTCTCTGACACACCCACCCCCATTACCCTAACGGAATCAATCCATCTCACTGAGGGTCTTCCTCTCTTGTGCTGTCCCTCCACCATCCCAACCATGATGTCCCTCTCCAAGGACTGGTCCTGCTTTGCAACATGCCCAAAATATGTCAGATGAAGCTTTAGAATCCTTGCCTCCAAAGAACAGCCTGGTCTTGCCCTCCTAGGACAAACTTGTTTGTTCTCCTAGCAGTCCATAGTCTATTCAACACTGTTCTCCAGCACCACAGCTCAAAGGCATCAATTCTCCTTCTATCATTCCTAGTCTTTGTCCAGCTTTCTGAAGGATAGCAAGTAATTGCAAAGACCATGGCCTGGATCAGGTGCACTTTAGTCTCCAGATTTACATAGTTGCTCTTCAGTACTTGGGAGAGGTCTCTCACAGCAGACTTTCCCAATGCAATTCATCATTTCCTGGCTTCTGGTACCTAGAGTGGTGATTGCAGAGGCAAGCAAACTAAAGCTGTTAACAAACTCAGTCTCTACACATCTTTCATGAAGCTGCCAATCGGCCCAGTAGTGAGAATCATTGTTTTCTTGATGTTGAGCTTCAATCTATACTGAAGGCTGTATTCCTTTACCTTCTGCAGCAAGTGCTTCAGGTCCTCCTCAGTTTCAGCAAGCAGGGTTGTGTCATCTGCATAACACAGATTGTTCATCAGTCTACCTCCAATCCTGATGCCACATTTCTCCTTACAAAGCCCAGCCTCCCAGATAATCTGTTCCGCATACAGATTGAAAAGGTACGGAGATAGGACATGTTACATATATGTGTACATACGTGAACATACATACAGTACAGCCACAGAAAGCATACAATGCCCAGAGAGCAATGGAATTGGAGTACCCTTATAGCATTATGAGTGTATTTTGCAACTAGTGACAGCTGAAAATTGTAAATATATTAAATGCCATTGAACTTTAAACTTTCAAATGGTATAGGATCATGTAGTTTCATGTCATATGAATATTACATTTTAAAGTATTTTTTAATTAAAGCATAAAATAAAATTGCTTAATAGAAAGTACATATAAACTGTATTTTTATAAGGGTGCCCCGTGCTAATAGGTTAAGCACTGGACCACTAACTGAAATGTCAGCAGCAGTTCAAATGAACTCACTAATTTCTCCTTGAAGAAAGATAAGGCAATTTACTTCTACAACAATTTACAGTTTTGGAAACACTATAGGGCAGTTCTATTCATATTTTTACTTTTATAATTTCCTATCATTTTAAAAGAAAAAAGGAGATCAAACAAAAGCATGGAAATTACTGAACAATATCACTCATATCACACACAGCAAGATGCTGCTGAAGATTATTTTTAAAAATGACTGGAACACAAATAGAGAACTGCCAGATGTACAAGCTGGATTTAGAAGTAGTAGTGGCAGTAGGAACATAACAGCCAACATTAGATAGCTCTTATCTGAAAGTAGAGAGTACCAAAGGAATGTCAATCTGTGTTACATTGACTGCAAGGCATTTGACTATGCAGATCACAACAACTATGACTAACCTTAGAAGAATGGAAATCCTAAAACACTTGATAGCACTCATGAGAAAATTACACTTGAATCTGGAAGCAGTCGTCCAAACAGAGCAAGGAAATACTGCATGGCTCAAAATCAGGAAAGATGTCTATCAGAGATGCAACCATTTCCACACCTTTTCAATCTATAAAGAACAGATCAGAGCAGAGCAAGCCCCAGAGCCTGGAGGGGTTGCAGAGCCCAGGTGCTGAGGAGAGGGCAGCTGCCATGGCCTCTACTGCCCTCTCTTCCTCCTCTGCTGAGTATTCCCTGATCCCAGGACCCCAGGGGGAGGGGACTCCTTTGGGGGCAGAGAGTACACCCCAGAGTCCCCAGGGTGCCTCCTCCTCCCCTCAAGCGGCCATGTCAGCTGAGGGAACCAGCAGTCAGGAAGGGGCAGGTGATAGTTCCCCCACCATCAGGTCTTACAGAGGGTGCAGGCCCAGGAACAAGCTAGAAAACATAGTGTGGCATTTGGTCAATTTTCTGATCTCCAAGTATCAGAATGAGGAGTCTACCAATAAGGAAGAGATCGTGGACAAGGTCATCAGGAGGTATGAGAAGAACTTCCCCAAGATCTTCCGGAGAGCTTTGAAGATCATGCAGATGGTCTTTGGTGTGGAAGTGTTCCTGTTCCCCTTGCTCGGGCTCACTTATGACAATAGCGTGAAGAGCCAAACCCAGAGCTTCCCCAAGAACGGCCTTCTAATCACAATCTTGAGTACCATTTTCCTGAAAGGCGGCCGTGCCAGTGAGCAGAAGATCTGGGAGACGCTAGAAGTGATGGAGGTGCATGCAGGGCAGGAGCATAGTATTTATGGGGAGCCCCGCAAGCTCATTCAGGAATGGAAGCAGTATGAGTATTTAAACATAGAGCCAGTACCCAACAGTCAGACTCCCCGCCAGGGATTCCTGTGGGGCAAGTGGGCCCGCAGAGAAACCAGCGAGTTCAAAGTCCTGGAGTTCCTAGCCACGGTCAGTGGCACTAGCCTAAATTCCATACTCAGTCAGTACTTGCAGGCTCTGAGAGAAGGGACGCACACAGGACCAGTCTCAGATGAAATCGAGGTCCTCAGCACCTTGATAGTATTCATTCCACGTAATATCCACCGTTTCCTAACTTTTAGATTCAGGGGTGAATTTCATGCTGCTTGAAGAGAATGGGCAGCATTCAAAGCAGTAGTGGGCCAGGGTGGAAGACGTGCACATTACAAGTTCTGTTCTAGAGGGGTCAAGGTAGATATTGCTGGTTTCTCCAGGAACTTTTTAACTATTCGTTTTAATAAATGGTTTGAGCTTAAAAAAAAAATCATTCCGGAAGCTGGGCTTATATGAGGAGGAATGTGGCATCAGGATTGGAGGAAGACTCATCAACAACTTGCGTTATGCAGATGACACAACCTTGCTTGCTGAAACTGAGGAGTACCTGAGGTGTTTGCTGCAGAAGTCAAGGACTGCAGTCTTCAATATGGATTAAAGCTAGGGGAGCTCTGGTGGCCTAGTGGCAAGGAGCTGTAACTACAATCCCAGAGGCGCACGGTTCGAATCCACCAGATGCTCTGCCGAGGAAGGAGGGACAATCTCCTCCTGTACCAGTCACATCTGATTTGACGGTACACTCACACAAAAATAATAAAATAA